GAGAGACTACAACCGCCCGACCTGTTTAGCGCAGTATACAAGGCGCTTGAGATCATGGAGAACGTATGGGAAAAAAGGGAGGCGAGTGGTGCATCATGCCGCGACCTTACAGCCTGCTTCAAGGGTCTAAGTGATGATCTACTGTTGCTTGTTTGAAAGCCGAACTAGGTTTACTGCGGTTAGGTTTAGACACATGGATATTCAACACAAGCTTTAATACCGTTAAATTGCTCTTATAAAATTCCTGTTCCCTCTCTAGGCTCTCATGATTAACAGAAAAGGGCTTGTCACACCTTGGGGTTAGGGTTAGGGTATTAAACAGGTGCTTAGGTAATCGAGATGTTGAGAGGTTGAGGATTTTTCAGACCCCAAGAGAGGTAATAGCCTTGGATGTCCCGATAAAGCACAATGGATCGAATGACTTATGGAGTATTCCAGTTAAACCCCCTACTCCCTCCACGGCGGACTGGATTCGTCAGATATGACTAAGCCCAACTTTCATGACTAAACTCTGACTAAGCCGCCTCGATGGCCCCCCTATTGTTGCAAGCGACAGGTAAGATCGGTAATTGTTCGTCTATGCTTACATGCATTACCCAAGAAAATCTTCAATGAGTGATTCGTAAAGAGTGAATAGTGTTGATGATAAAAACCCTCTCCCGCCCATACCCTCCCTAGTCGCTTTGAACCATGAGTGTGTTGGAGCTGTATCCTTGGGGTTGGTTATTGAGGTTGATGAGATGTGATGCTACTATGGATTGGCATTGGTCTGTTCAGGGTGGGTCTCTTCTAAACTCAATCTGCCTGCCTCTTCATCTTCACATCTAATGTCCTTGTATTCGGCAGTACTTGGTTTCTGGACGTTCCCAACCAGAGTAACAAGGGTCAGACTGGCGATAACAATGACAGCACCTAGGATTTCCCAAAGATTGATTGTGGATTGAAACAAGACACGGTCCAGTATCAGAGCCCAGACTATCTGAGAATATATCATGACTGTGGCGGCTGAAGAAGAGTCGCTCGAAATTCCAACTGTGAGGGTAAATTCCTGATTTATTGTTAGAGGCATTCGCCGATTATAGAGAATGGAGACCACAAGTATCACTTACCATCGATAGGCCACAGATGCCGATATACGCAAGACAAAGCCAGGTGAGTGGGTTCTTTGGCCACGTAAGTCCCGGGACCAACATAAGGCCAACCCAGCTCACAGTCGCCAAGCTCCATGCGAATACGTTGACACTGGTCAGTGGATGAGCTCTTTTTCCGATGCAGCGGATCGAGGTGATGGTAATCTAAGATTATCTTAGTACAGATACACTTGAAGATGCTACATGCTTATCACTTACTACACCACCACAAAGGCCCAGCACAGCAAAGGCTAAGCCCTTCATGTTGGCCGCTGGATCACTAGAGACATCACGTTGGGTGGATTGTATCGAACCAAATATCTCTTCAGGTTGGGATATGAGTACGACTCCCCCGAGCGCTCCAACGGCGCCGAGGCAATCAGTCCACTGGACGGTAGCGAATGACAGATATCGTGTTAGGATCAACGACCCTAGAGGACCAAGAAAATTTAAAGCAGTCGCTTCACTGAGGTTTAAGTATTTCATAGAAACTAGTGCATATCAAGAGTTAGTATAACAAGTCACTAGGTCTGATACCTGCAGCTTGCGTTACGGTAATATTGGATGATAAGAGAGTATGATATTGAAAAGTGACTTACAGAAGAATCCCGAAGCACCGCAAGTGCCACCGAGGGCTCGCAGCAGGATGAGACCCCGAACATCAGGAGCTCCGAAGAGGTCGGACTTCTTATCGCCGCCGCCGATGTGCCAGAGATACCAGGTACATCCGAGGGCGGTGATCAACATCCGGACATGGAGGACCTGGAAGGGGTGAACTTCCTCGAGCCTAGTCTCGGCGTACTTCGCGGCGGCGTTCAGGGTGGCGGCGGCGACTTGTGAAGCTAAGACGAATAACGAAGGACGATAGCGCTCGACCAGGGACATGGCCCCCGAATCTTTCGCCATCATGGGCAACAGGCCCGATCAATGGTGGTTTAAACGAGTGACGACGCCAAAATGGCTTGAGGATAGAATGATGATGGTTCACATCGCCCTTCTTCAGATAAACGCGAGTTGTCGTCGTTTGTTTGAGAAGGGCCAAGTCTAGGTCAATTATGGTGCCCCACTGTGTATGGGTATTGTAATTTCGATCGTCGAATGGATGCGGCGGTCGTCCCCAGCTTCTGTCAAACCAAGTTGGGTATAATGTGATGCAACCTTGAATACCAATTCTCTGGTAGATCTTCAGCAGGGATTACGATAATGATTATGGGACAACGTGCTTTCCTCCCTGTGATGTTTTGTGTGCAAGTGCTGACTCCCTGGAAGGAAAGCGCTACGACATACCGCTTCTTCGCAGGCAAGAAAAGTCGACGGCATCAATTATGTACATGATACAACAAAGTGCATCCACTGTACCTGGCATGATATCCATGAACGACCAAACCTTATTCTCGTGCCTGCCTTGTCATCCGCTCAGGGGAGACACGGAACTGAGCCGGTAAGCCGCAAATATAAAATCGGCAACCCCGTAAAACTCAACTTGACACCCAATGCCGAAAACCCGAAAGGGTTTACATGAATATTCCATGATTCCGTACAGATACTTGAAAGATATCGAATACTTGAAAGATATCGAATACGTTGATGGAGGTCGTAACATGAGTTGACCCTATTCCCATGTTCTAGGCATTGAAATCCACATGATTTTGGTGACTTACTACAAGCTTATTTTTGTTTAACTTTAATTATCAGTAATATCGACAGATAAAAGTTCAATACGACAAAACTATGAAGGACTTCTGTCTCCCAAAATATTTGATAAATTTACACGCCAAGCCGAGAATTATTAGATCATTTTAGCAGTCTCCAGGGCACTCCCCTGCTAAACGAAACAGCTAAGGGAAATCCAGCCAATTAAAAGCTGATTATGGCTCAATACTTACCCCTTATGGAAGATGGTAGGCTATTGCAACCAATCAGATTAAAGGGGCTCGAGAAGCACACCGTTCTTGCTTGCTGACACATCTGTTTATTACCCCTAACCCTCGCCATCATAATCGAATATGTTGCCGACAGCTTGTTCATCATCCCGACTACCGGGTCAAAAATAGGTCTGAATGATGTCACTTTGCAACACTCCGTATACGGCTCCGAGTTGGTACTGGCACCAAACCTCCAGTAATGTCACAATTTTGAAAGATTAACTGGCATCCTAAACGCTCGAGGGTGATAGATCTCTTGAGCGATGAAAGATATAATCTTACGTAAGGAGCGTTGATTACGCAATAAATGTTTAAGTAATATCGAACCAAGTCCGACTCAGCTGGGTTAATAATCAGGGCGCAAGCCATCTTACTAAGTAATGTCGTACAAGCTGATTTAATCAAAGCTGACCTAATCACAGATTACTTAATAAAGAGAGAGCTATTGATGAAGATATTATATTAAGATGGTCTACGACGGCACAATATGGTGAATTCTCTCCATAAATTCATGCGCTAGATTTCTCGATCTCCCTTTTCAAATCTGCGTTGAACGAATCCCAATTGCGGATGGTTTTCAACGACGAGCTTGATCCCTGCTTGAATAAAAAGGTCAAAATGCCTTCAAAGTCTTCCACCTGGACAAACGTGGTTCCTCCTAAATTCTTCTTGCTGGGCTCGAAGTTGAACTTATGCCTCCCGACTATGATTCCTGTCAAGGCCCCTTCCCATTGGAAGGAGTCTGCAGAATTATCCTATATTACGTAATCAGGATATTTCCAACGGTATATAGGACAATGAAGAGACTTACCTTCACAGTTGGATGGAATGCCATTCCGTGCATGTTGACTCGAAGGCGATCTCCTGCTTCTAGTTGGAGTGGGGCTTTGCTAGAGTCGACAGGTTCGACTGTCCACCCTTTATGCCACTGAGGCCATCTTGGGAAGTCTAGGAACTAGATACGCACGCTTAACAAGACTTATAAAGATATCTAGGCACTTGAAACGCATACCACTGATCGGACAGTAGCCGGGGGCGCTTGTATCTCTATCGCCGTAGAAATGCTTCTAAGTCGTCCCATGGTTTCCACGAGAAGGTTGGGCGAACGTGAAGTTTATGATAATTGCGCATACGATAGAGGTTCCTTTCATTTATGATATAGCAAATTTATATATAATCATAGCAAAAGCTATCCTTAGGCCTCGCGATCCTGTATTTAGGGGCGCGAGAATAGGCCGACCAGGGATACCGTCAGACGGCCCCACTCCGAGAAAAGCGCGAGGTGACCAGGAGACAAGAATGGATATGAATTTCTGGCAGAATCAAACGAATGTTTTCATATTGAGTAGTGATTGGCTAAAAATTCTTAACATTCGATCCAGAAATATGATTATAATGAATGTTAGTATTCACATTACCATATGATTGAAGCTATCCCCTATGTTACACAACCAGCTTTTTTTCAGCCATAGTACGTGTAAGTTCCCTAATTAGATAAAGAAGGGGATAGCTGATAAAATACGCCATTGCAGTCAAGTAACATCTACGCCTGGAATTCCAGCTCCTATGTGTACATTGCATATGTAATGAATGATATATGTTAAGTTTACATATTAAGAAAGCGTTTGAGTTTGATGAATGATTTCTATATCTTGGTAGGATAAAATGACAGATAATGTATAACCAGGGGTAGTAAATAAAGGAGACTGAAATCAAATGATAGATGCCCATACATCAAAGCAAAGAGCTTAAGGAGCCACCCTTGCACTAATGTCTCTGCTCATTCAGACTGGGCAGGTACGTAGCAAAGACACAGTCGTCACTACCCCATTCACAAGTCCCGGCGATCTTCCGGCCCCGCCACCGGAACGGAGGGCTTATTAGAGTGAATAAGCGCCGATTCAAACATCCAGCACCCACTTCACGGACTGCACACTCGTTCAAGGCATCTATGGAGTAGAAGTTAACTCGTCCCTCTCCCATTTGAATAAATGGGGCTTGGGGAAAACCCGGGTGCAAATCCCGGTGGATGCAATCACCTTTTTGGACGTCGTCGGTTCAAAAGGCACATTACTCTCTTTTTTTTTATTTTCTTCTCGTGCCACCTTTCCATCATATTAAATATTCTGAATGGACCAATTCTACATCGTGATAATTCTCATGGCCTGAATATTACTAGAACCAATGATTAGCGATAGTCAAACACAACTACTATGTAGGCCAATCGTCACATTTAGAATCGGTAAATCAGTAGTAGGAGGTCATTTTATTCATTATTTAGCAGATTCATTTCTGCGTGTATCTAGTGGTCTATCCAGTCAACTACATCACTCTCTCGAGTAAACTTTCTTACCCCCGACCCAAGTCTCCTTAACCTTCAAAGAGCACAGATCCTCAATACCCATACCTTCCAAGGGTTTATCGAGAACTATCCAATCTGCGAAGGCGCCTGACTTGATGACACCAGCCTTACCATCCATGAAGGCGCCGTGCGCAGGTCCGTAAGTGAAGCCATGGATTGCCTGGGTTAGATTGAGGGCCTCGTCCGTATGCCACCCAAGAGGCGAATCATCCGTACCTCGGCCTGTGTGAGGATTGCGTCTCGTGACAGCTGCGTAGATTCCTTGGAATGGGTTGGGTGGTTCGACTGGGAAATCGCTACCTAAGACAGGGCTGACGTCGAGTAGGGAGCGCATCCGGTATGCCTCTTTTGCGGTGCGTTCATGGCCTAATCTGGTCTCTGCGTATGCCATGTCACTTGTGGCATGTGTGGGCTGGATGGAGGGGATGATCCCAACAGCATGGATTCGGGCCTGGTCATCCGTATGAATTATTTGGGAGTGTTCGATACGGAAGCGATGACGAGACTGGCATAGTGAAAGATCTTCGTCAGGGCAAAGAAGTCGAAGGGCAACGATAATGGCGTCGACAGCATTTCGGTTGGCTAGATCACCGATGGCGTGAATATTAACTTGGTAGCCTTCTTTAGCCCATGCGACTGTATCGTACACCAATTCGGAGGCGTTGACGAGTAGAGTTCCTGACGTATCCGGTCGGTCGGTATAGGGCTCAAGTAAAGCACTACCCCAGCTTCCTAATGCACCATCTACTTCCAATTAGACTCACCCAAAGCATGAACATAATTCTTGTGTAACTTACCTGCAAAGAGCTTCACGCTGTTGACAGTCAAGAAGCTACCGGGGCTCTTGAATTTCTCGACCTCATGGGGACAGAATGTGTTGCGTTCGTCGCATTCGATCATCGCATACACTCGGACTGTCCAGTCATCGCTGCCAGCCAGTTCCTTGTAGAGGTTCAGATTGCTTGGAGTAACGCCAGCATCGTGAATACCAACAAGTCCCACTTCATTCAACTTTGCCATAGCACTCTTCACAAACTGTGTCTTCTTCTCGTTGTCCGGCTTGGGCCACAGAGCCATTACGATATCCATTACATTATCGCAAAAGACGCCCGTTCCAGGGTCTGTGACAATTTGACCGCCAGGAATTTCAGGAATAGACTCCGGAAGTAGATCCAAGACCGGCTGAGAGACCCAGATGCAGTGTACATCCACTCTGTCAAGCATGATGTATAAGTTCTTGAGCTTCGGGTCCGCTGCTAGATCATTCTTTGGTATTGTCAGCACGTCAACATAATTGATGTGGCATATGAGTTAACTTACGGCAGTGGGCATCTTTCCAAGAGCCATTTGATCCCATCCGACGCCTCTGAGCCACTCCACCTTTGATCCGGCCTTGGGGTTCTCGTCGACATAAGCTAGAATACGAGATCGAACATCACCCATGGAAAGGGAACCAAAGAGATCAACGGAGTTCAAGAATTCGCCGTACTGCAGCATGTGTCCATGTCCGTCCCAGAGACCAGGCATAACAAACCCCGGTTTCGCGTTCTTAGCATAGTCTGTGTCCTGACTAGCTTGAAAGACCCTGGCGAATTTCCCGATGGGCGACACAGAGAAGCAGTTAACGTACGGCTCTGCTGCTACGTTAGTGCGCACTGATTGGTAGCAGTGAGTCTCTGCTTCACTGGTCAAGTACCATGATGGGTAAATTATTTGATAGTATGCCGCTATGATAATGATCACAAACGGCATACCAGCCAAGACCGAACCGTGAGAGAAGTACATAGCGGCGAGATTACCAACGTCACTGGGACGAAACGCCGTGTTATCTCAGGTTGAGAGATGCCACTCGTCAAGAGACTGAACCAGTAAATCTAGGGTCGTTAGAAAATGATTACTTTAGAACAAGGAATCTTTGGATGCATGGAAACAAATAAAAGGATGAGAAAATTTTCACTTACACGGAAAATAACCAGGCCAGCCAGTGCACACTGGAAGAAAAAAAAATAAAGAAAAGAAGAAGAAAAGTTTCAGGATTTGACGTCGTGGTTGTTGACGAGGCACCTTGTGATAAGAAAACCCCCATTGAGTAAAGTTTTGATAGCAGTATGCACAGTACAGTTAAGGTGCTATATATCGGTTGTATTGGCTTAGCGGTGGGCTAATTTAGCGGGTCCAGGCAGCCAGGAACGGGAATGGCGGGGGCGGGGTTGTCGAGCAACGTCGCTGTAGAATTAAGGAAACCCCCTGTAGCCCTGGAAACTATAAGCCAAGATGGAAGGAACTTCGGAAGATTATATCGCTGCGATCCAGGGGCTTCCTTCCTTTTCCCAGGAGGGACACCGAGATTCAATGCCGACCTTTCCTCCTTGAACCTGCCAACTTTAAGCTTCTGTTTGAAACAAATAGAAGAAAAGAAAACCAAACAAATCCTGTCAAACCTCGCCGACGAAATCCAAACCGCAACCATGGCCGACGCAGCCGCGCTCCTCAAGCTCGCCGAAACCGACGTCTCGCAAGAGATAACCAAAGACCAATACATCCCAGTCCTCACACAACCGCCCTTCGTCTTCGTCGACGGCACCTTCAACACGCGGGACATCGGGCTCGTCCCCGGCAGTCCCCTAAAGCCAGGCTACGTCTTCCGCTCCGGCGCGCTAGCGCAGCTCTCGGATAACGGGAAGGCCGTGCTGGGCGGCAAGCTCGGCGTAAAGCGCGTGTTCGACCTGCGGTCGCCGGAGGAGCGCGGGCAGGCGCCGGACCCGGCGTTAGACGGGGTTGAGTATGTGTGGATCGAGAGCGCGCGGCCCGATGCTGCGATCGATTTGGAGCGGTTTGTGAAGGGACAGGGCGAGGATGGGTATCGCGATATGTACCTCGATGTCGTGGATGTGTATCAGGAGAGCTGGAAGGCGATTCTGCAGCATATTCGGGATCGCCCGGCTGATCCGTTCTTGGTGCATTGTACCGGTGCGTCTGTTATACTTTCATATGTCGATGTTGATCGCGGGTTTTAGGAAGGCAGCTTCGGGTGGCTTAAGGCTTCATGCTGGGTCTTTGCTAACGTATAATCACTACCAGCTGGACGTGACAGAACCGGCGTTTTAGCAGGCTTATTGCTTACACTCGCCGGCGCACCACCAGAAGTCGTAGTCCTAGACTACCTCCTGTCGCGAATAGGAACGGAACCTGTGCGGCTGATGCTCCTGGACTTCGCCATGAAGGGCACGCACGCTAAGAGCCACGACCAACCGGGATTCTATAATTTGATCAACCTGAAAGCCTCGAATTGGTCTGCATTCGTCGACGGTGTTCAGAAAGAATATGGCGGTTTTGAGAAGTTCATCACGGAGAAGCTCGGTTTCACAAATGATGATCTGGCTAAGATCAAGGCGAATCTAACAAGTTCCTAAAACCTTTACTTGATAGGAATTGAGCGTATCGATATAATTGCTAAAATTATTGGGTAATAGATTTATTCAATGGGGTGGCACAGCAAGGCGTGGTATCACAGCCAATTCCAAGGCCTATTTCTACTGGAGGTTCTAAGAGGAGAAACATATTGTTTCTAACCATCTTTCACGTATGTAGTTATATCCAGCAAGTTCTATGGCATATAGCTGTTTAAACGACCCCCCACCATCAATCTTTAGTTCACCATCTACCGGCAACCTTAACTTTAGGAGCATATGCACTATCTTAGAGCGGTTAGTTCATCTTATTATAGCGAAAACGCTCCCGATATCTCGGAAAAGTGTGGGTATAATGGGTAGGTGGGTTGCATATCATAGAATACGACTAGTCGTCTAAATATTGAGTATGCAAAGGGCGCGCCGATAGGTTAAATATGGGTATAGGTAAAAGTCGGTCTACTTATACTACTCTCCACTCCGTATCTCCTTTACCGGAGACACGAGGATTCATAAAGGTTAGAACTTGTATTGGGGCTTTCTTCGAGACTTGACATAGTCTAATTCTATGTCTTTATTGTAAACGAATTCAATTTTCAATAAGAGAATTTCTGTGTTTGAAATTTGTTCGTAGCTATATGGCGAGTCGTGATTTAGAGCTAGAGGCTTTTGCCCAGCCGATAGTGAGAGTTGGAGCTGTGCCAGCTGCAGCCGAAGAGCTGAACCAGCAGGTTGAATCACCTGCAGAAACACCTGGAGAAGAAAGGCAGGAGTTCTCATTACCGCCCGTCGATGGTGGCAAAGATGCATGGCTCTTCTTGGCAGCATGTTGGGCGATTGAAGCCCTCGTCTGGGGTAAGATTTAGTACCTACCTTTTTATTAAGTTGAGAGTAGCTTGTTGACTATTTCGATAGGTTTTCCATTCGCTTTCGGTGTGTTCCAGGACTACTATAGTACCAATGAACCTTTCGCGGGCTCGCCAAATATCACAGTCATTGGTACTTGTGCGATGGGGATAATGTATCTGACCGCGCCTCTTATGATGGGACTTTGCCGCCTCTTTAATAGGTGGGCTCGGTATACGTCTATACTTGGCTTACTCACCATGTGTCTCTCGCTTGCGATGAGCTCGTTTTCGACGACGATCCCGCATCTCATTGCTACTCAAGGTATACTGTACGCCGTCGGTGGAACTGTTGCTTATTCTCCTTGTATCCTGGTAAGTGTAGGATAGGGGTAATCTTTAATTATTTCTGCCGAC